TTGAATTATCTCAGGAAGTAAATTTTGCTATTAAAGTAATTGAATTGAGATATTATATACTAAGATTCCAATTAATAAAATAAAAAATTAAATAAAATTTAATTTTCATGAGTGTTAGGATTCGAACGTATATGCTCGTATTCGAATTCAGCTTAACTCCTTCACGCTTACGACCTAAGCCACCACAAAAGTGGAAACGCGGCCGCTTTAGCCATAGTTATATTATTACCCTTTGTTCTTATACACATACAAATGTTTGAAAAATTTCATATAAAATGTTTATTTTATTATGAATTCTGAAGGTTTTGCCAGTAATCTTCTTTTTTAATTTAAAAGGCTTTTCTTAATTATAAATTTTGCCATATCATTGAAATTGAAAACACAAATCTAAATAGGTCTGCGCATTGATTTTTCATTCGTTGTGTCTATTTATAGCCTTTTCTCCGTTTCGCACATTGGGTGGTGTATTTTTCTTTTTCGAAGTTATATTTTTCCCTCATCTGGAACAAAAAATTAGTACACAATAATATTTCACTTAACATTTGCGCCTTCTCTATTCATTTACATTCTCTGGATCTACTATACATATAACAGCTGCCGGATTGTGTTATGGTTAGAGTGTTGCCGTGTAAAGAGCAATTGAGATATAAATACGAAGTTGTAAGCTCGAATAATGAGCGTTAACTTGTTGAAATTAGAAATAAAGATAAGCAGGGTTCACATATATTAATGCAGGCATGACCTCACAGTTGAAAGAGCAGAAAGCGTGTGTACCAGTGCAAGGGTTCTCACTGTCAGAAGAGGAAGAAGCTTGTATACCAGTACAAGTGTCCTTACAGTTGGAAGAGCAGGAAGCGTGTATACCAGCACAAGGGTCCTCACAGTCGGGTGAGCACGAAACGTGTATAACAGCACAGTTGCCCTCACAGGTGGAAGAACAGGATAAAATTAAACCTGAAACGGATGACTATTCGCAAGAAGGTATAGAATCGCAAGGTGTAATAAGTGAGCTAGTGGAGCAAAAGTACAACGAGTGGAGAAATAACTACCGGAAGGTCAGCCGTAAAAGCATATTGGGAAGAGCGAAGCAGTGTAAAGTTGGTGTGTGGCTGCTTGCATCGAGTATGGAATAGCGAAAATGGGCAAATCTTTCAAGCACTTATGGTTGTTCCGAAGTTTAGAATTCCTGAAGTTCCCAACGAGCTTCAAAACGGTTCAAGTAGAGGGCACTTGAAAATCACGACAACCTTTCTGAAGTTAAAGCAAAAGTTTCATTGGCTAAGTTATCGTCAATCAAAAACGGAAAGGTTTGCCTAATATGCCTAGTGTTTTGTAGCTGAAGGGTAAAGTCCAGGAGTCATGGTCAGATGAGCAGTACAATTCAAGTGCGCCACTCGAGCGATTTGCCATGAATGTGGATGAACCTTTCCCACAAATCATTTAGGAAACAAATGCGTTTTGGTAGTCAAGGACCATTCCAACGAATGGCCAAAAGTATACACAATTTCCAATCAAGAGGCTGAAATAGTAGCGGGCGCATTCATCAACAAGTGGGTAACGAGATTCGGTGTTCCAATGGAAATACGTTCTAGCAAAGAAAGAAGTTTCGAGTCAGCTTTAATTCAAGGGATGTATCAAAAACTGAGTATCTGAAAACCGGTTGAAATTTACGCCAGTAAGGGAAGAACGGCTGAGTAAGTCAACAGCATCATAAAAAATGAGACAAGAGACATAAATGATATGCGTTTATTGATGACAAATTGCAAGAATCATTTAGAAACCGAATTCGTAGTTGCTACAATGTCCTAGTTTCGAAGTTTTTTTGACGATCTACCATACACTAGGTAGAAAAAGTCTCCGCTCACTGGGTACAAAATCTTTTGAGCTAAAATAAAAGTTTGACCAATTGACCGATTAAGAAATTTTTTTTGTTATTAAATCATATCTTTTCGCTTAAAAAAAATTTACTTTTTTTCAAATTATTTAATAAATATAATCCACAGAGCTCATTTTCAGTTTAAAAACAATTAGCTTAAACAGAAAAAGTCTCCGCTCATCGACGTTTAGGCATGGAATGTACTTATTTTCTCGTATCTTGGGCTGACTCCATTTTACTCCATTCGTCCAATATAACGATTTTGAGCATTTCTTTGCTGGTAATGAATGTGCGAATTCTGCGCTTCAATAGAGCCCATAAATGCTCAATTGGATTGAGGTCAGGTGAATGTAGCTGTTATGTAGCATTATAAAGAAGCCAAAGGCGAACAAGTTCCGCTGTATGCTTAGGGTCATTGCCCTGTTGGAAACAAAACACGTTTGGCAATCCTAATTTGTCAGCACTTTTTCATTATATTTTCGATAAACTCAATTTGGTCTTATCCGACCATAAAACCGATTCCCAGAAAGATATAGGCTTGATTATATGTTCGTTTGCGAATACAATGCGCTTCACACGGTTTTTTAAGGAAATGAATGTCGTACTGCGTGCCACAACATCCAACGCTTTTTAATATTTTTCTTACTGTGTCGCTGCATATAGTTTTTTTAAATCGTATTTTTTACATCTTCTGCTATTTGGAAGTGGTTAAACGCGGATTAACCGTTTTTTTGAAAGTCTGGATGACGTGTCGCAGTGATGACTTCGTTCTGTTGACAACTCGTCCAATTTGAGCATTGTTGGATTGCCTAATTGGATTTGAAGTTTCACTTTCGGTTTTTCGTTAAATTTTGGTAAAGTATAACACATACATATATTCTTTTGTGAGAAACTGTAACATATATTAATTTGACCAATATACTAGTATGGGTTTTACAAGCAGAGTTAGCTAAAATAAAATAGGAAATACAATATAGTGTTATATGAAATTATTTGTAAGACAGTGATTCAAATAAATAAAATCTTCATTAATTATTTAAATTCCGGACATAACTGAAAGCAAACCATCACAAAGAAGCCCACACTAAATTGTCGTAAACCACAAACCAACAAAAATATCAACAAAAAAAAAACGCGCTAAAAAGAGTCATTGACATTAACCAAGGCGGTCTAATTCACACAGAACATTTGCCTCGTTCTGAATATTGAACTGGATGTCTATGCATTTAGTAGAAACTGTTCAGCATGTATTCGTTATCTAAAAAATTATAACTTCGTTGTTAAATCGACTCAGTTCGCCACGCTGATCATTTATATATATTAGGGTGCTTTTTATACCATCGCAACATGTTGCTACAGAGTATAATAGTATAATAGTATTGTTCACCTAACGGTTGTTTGTATCACCTAAAACTAATTGAGTTAGATATAGGGTTATGTATATATAAATGATCAGGATGAAGAGACGAGTTGAAATCCGGGTGACTGTCTGATATATATATGAAACTTGGTACACATGTTTCTTGATACCGTAAGACAGTTGGTATTGCAGATGGGCATAATCGGACTACTGCCGCACGCACAAAACGCCATTAATCAAAAACAAATAAATTGTCATAACTAAGCTCCACAATAAGATACAAGGCTGGTATTTGGCACACAGGATCGCATTAATGAGGGGCATCTGCAATTTAATTTTTTTTAAAGTGGGCGTGGTTCCGCCTCTAATAGGTTTAATGTGCATATCTCCTAAACTGCTAAAGCTATAATAACAAAATTCACTGAGAACAAATGTTTTTAGCACCTCTATCTACGGTGTGAAAATGGGTGAAATCGGGTGACAACCAATATAACGGTACTGTTAAAAACTACTAAAAGCGCGATAACTCAAGCACTAAACACGCCAGAGTCATTAAATTTTAACACAGGAATCGTATGAGCTGACTTTATAGGAGCCGCGTTCAAAATTAGACATTGTTCGTGGCACCGCCCTCTTATAGGTGTAAACCCATATCTTGGGATCTGCTTAACCGATTTCAACCAAATTCGGTACATAAAATTCTTCTCATGTTCTATGTTATAGTGCAAACAAATCGGATTACAATTACGCCTCTCTCCCATATAACACCATTTTAAATTTCATCTGATTTTTTCACTTTCCAGTATACAAATCAAGCAACAATGATTTAATCGAGGTAAAACTTTGCGTGAATAGTACGTTTAAAGTATGCCACCTTGTGACCTAAAACTGTCTAAATCGAACCAAAACTATACACGCCCTTAGGTACTGAATATGTGGACCCCAGTGCCTATAGTTAACCTTCTACCGAAAATATCGGTCAATCCGCAAAGAAATCTCAAACGAGTATACCATTTGACTTTGCGATAGTATAAAACTTTCGGTTACATCCGAACTTAGCCTTTCCTTACTTGTTTTTTAATTTTTTTTCGATCTCATGGTGAAGTTTTGTTGGAAATAACAAAAAAAAAATTTCCTGAAAGTTTGAGCTTTTAATATTAATATTAAGTACTAGACCAGGGCCTGTAAAGATTTTTCATCTAAAATACACGTAAAACTTGATTTTTTTTTCTTTTTAATTTTAAAATTCAGCGGCATTTGATGGAATTATCTCACCCGTCATTAGGTATTCCTCAGAATTGAACGTTCTACAAAAGCCTCCATTGCGGTAAAGTTAAAACTTGCACCTGCGGGGTAGTACGGGAACCCTAACCATGAAATTCGCGTTTTTTTGGATTTATCTCGTAAACAACACTAGCTACAGAAAAATTGTAAAATAACTAACTTGTATAGTTTTTGGCACCAAATCGATAATATTAATACTCTTTGAGATGCAGAGATTTTAAGTTTTATATTGAAATTAATTTATTTAACAATTTAACTTAAGAACTCCGTACCACTTCAACTTAAAATGTGTATGTGTACTAAAGCAATTCAAACCGGAAATTGCGATATACATAATTAAATTAGTACAAAGAAGTTAATTAAAAAGAAAAAAAAGTAATACAATGGAAAGGAAAATTCTACTGTGTCAAAATAATAGTAAGAAAATGTGGAGAAACTTAAAACAAACCATAAATTATACTAGTGAAGATAGAGTAATAGAGGCACAAATTGTAAGTTAATAAAATAACTTTTTTTGATGACATTTTTGAAATAAACATTAATATACGCTTATTCGACTAAAACATCAATATAAATCAACACAACAAATTATTCAAATTTATTGGAGTATCATCTTGTGATATTGTTCAAATTGTGTACGTAAAAAACTGTTACCGATGGTATTCTAAAAGATTATATTGAATAATCGGTATATGGTATTTTTATTCAAAAATTATAGACCAAAGGATGGAAGCGGGCAATGTTCCTCAAAGGTGGAAGATATTGACTATTGTACCAGTGAAAAAAGCGAAAAACACTCAAAAGCCTTAAGAGTCTAGACCGATAAATAGAAGAATATGCTTGCGAAATACCTTAAGTAAAACAAACCAATAGTACAAGAAATGGACAGTGGACAAACTTAAGTAGTTCCTTTAGAATTAGCACAAGGCTCAATATTGGCACCTACATACATTTGCATATTATTTCTGAGATACATAAATGATGTTATTGATGCAGTAAAATAATATAAGATTAAATTGTTGCAGATGATGCCCTCTTAGCATTAGTGATACAAATATTACATCAGCTGGTTCAAAATCACAAAACGATCAAGATAATTTATATAAATGGTGCATATGTGCAATTCATATCATTCAATTATATAAGGTTGTGTCGATACGGAGCGTGCTTCCTTTTACGAAAGAAGTGTTTGTATCCATAATGTCAAAAAAACTGCTTTTCGTTTTTCTTATGAATTTTCTGCTTAAAATTTGATGATTTTATATGATTTACAATCTATTTGTATTCAAATATCACTCAAAAACTCATTTTCATTGGTTAGAAATCTTTGAACAATTTATTTTGGTATCGTAAAATCAAAACAATACTATGAAAAATTGTTGTTTTTGAACTATCGACACAATCTTATGTATATAATTGAGTCTTGTGTGCAATTACTTTAAAATCTAAGGTAACAAAAATTAAATACATGATAATTAATCGAAAAAATATAAGCGAGTGCGATTTATTTGAACTAAAAGTAAACAGTGATGTAATAGAACCTATAAAATCCATAAAACATCTAGGCATTATAATTGATAACAAACTTAAATTCGATGAACAAATATCGTATTCTCTTTAAAAGTTAGCAAAACAAATTTGATTTATGAAAAGGTCTAGAGGGCTTAAGAGAATGGCCTACAAAACATTTCATGAACCACACTTTAGTTATTGCCCATTGAGTTTGTTTATAGCACCGGATTCAAAAATAGACAGACTTCAGATGCAAAAGATCCATTTTAAATGAAAAAGTATACGTATGCACTGATAAATATTTTGTCGTATACATAAATGAAAATCATGACATTAATACATTATAATTAAGTTGTCATCATTCAGAACTAAAATAGATAAGCCAAATCTAATTTATAAATGTTTTATCAATTCAATGAGTTACCGAATGAAATAAAAAATTGTGTTAATATTGCTGTTTTTAAAACACATCATTATCTATACTGTAAAATCTTAAATATAAGTTTAAATTTTATAAATTTATTATAAACTAGGCATGGGCCGTAATAATAATAAATTATTATGGGAAATATTAAAAAAATTTACGTTTATGCTGACCTCTAAACATATTTCATGCCTTTGCAAATATTTATATCACCCCAACCTTTATCATCGGTACTCATTACTGTTATTAAATTTACTTTCATTTTAATATTTTTAATAATTTTTGTGTAAAGCCTTTCAAAAATAATAAAAAGTAGCTTATTTAATATCAATTAAATAATAACAGTTAATCGAAACTTAATTAACTCGGATATCGCGAAATACTATATTAACACCCATCTTCTTGGTTTATATCTTAAACTATTCGCCTTTTAATTCGTGAAACTTTAACAAATGGAATACCTTTTTGAGTTATTTATCGCAGTAAATTTAGTTTGTGAATCAGCAGAAAATACCGTTTAGAACGTATATATACACATCATAAATCTATTCTAAAACAGTTTACTGATATTAATATTAAGTCAACTTTTATATAGGTATATCCTGTATAGGCTTTTTTCCGCTGGAAAAACTGCCACGCCTTAACAAAATACCATACCTAAAGAGTATCCAGAAAATCCTAAAATATTTTATTTTACTATCTTACTTTTATATTAATACCAATATTTTTTAAATAAAGAAATCATAAGAGTTTACTAATAAAAATCATATTTAAAGTTAAAGAAAAGCTACATCTACATATATTCAATTTATTAATGTCTAGAGTAGAACTAACTTGAAATGTTCAAAGCAAAATTTTTTATAAATCGATCTAGTATATTTGAAATGTACGAATGTATGATAATGCATATAGCATTTTGGAATTAGATGCAGATGTGCAGTTATCTTTAATTTTTAATTCTAATTTTAATTGTAACATTGTTATTTAGAATATTTATATGCTGGGTTTGCTATTGCCATAATTAGATCAAAGATTAACTCAAACCGTTAGATTCAAGTTAATAGTTGAAAGTTAACACAATTTTACCTTTTTCACAATGCCAGTTATTACATGTATTTAATAAGAAGTTTATATTAATAACACATCATGAATAGCATTTACTTCAGCAAAAAATTCAATGCACACAGCTCAGCAAATAATTGCCTTTCTATTTCTTTTATAATATTTTTATTGAAGCCTTTTATTAATTTCCGAATTTATGTAAATAAAAGAATTTACGGTAGATTCGATCTTTTTAATAAGTATAATTAATCACACTATGTACATTTTTGAAATGTTTTTATTTTCACCGAAATTGATTTCTTTAAAGCGCAATCGCGTAATGGGGGTATATACATTATTAGTATACTTCATATATAAATACATAATACGCATAGAGCATGCCCAGTAACAATTCATATTTATGGTCTTACAATGTTGCAATTTTCATGTTAACATTACAAAGGTAAACTTACGGAACTGAGCGTATTATGAATAAATTTCAAACGTCGGCTTCCATTGATGAAAACCCAGATAATAACAGTTCCGTTATTTCTAAGTTAAACAGGAAAAGATCCTTTGAAAACATTATGAATACTAATGCACTACGAACATTACACATTGTTTTTTCAAATAAATATTCGGTTAGTAATAACTAACTATATTTTTTTATATTTTAAAGTATCTTTTGTTTTTTATAGAGTTACACAAATCGCGTATATATTGTATATATCATATTATTGTACAAAAAATGTGTATGCTATATTATCTCATTTTAAAATTAAACTTAAAACATTATGCTTTATGAAATAATCCTCAATGAGCGCAGCTTTAAAAACAAAGAAGTAAGGAAGGGTTCGTGCGTAACCGAAAGTTTAAAACTCTCACAATTTGCCACTATGAACGGCACTAATACTCGTATTTGTTGACAAAACTTTATAATTAATTTAAAATGCAAATGAATTCAAAATTCATTAGTCGACAACAACTTGTATGGATAAAAGTCATATTTGGCATCTTATTAACTTATGATATAAGTAGGCCAATAGTTTCATCAGTACATTTTGCCTCGTGTTCGAGGTATTTATCTTAAAATCACCTTAATTAACTCAAATGAGATACACATATGTGATATAAACTCAACCAAAAAAGCGAAAGTTAGTAAATAGAGTATATAAGGAAAATTCAACTCGAGAATCGGAAATAATATTATGTTTAAGCAAACATGTTCCTTAATTTGATTAAAATACTAGAAGACCCCTGACACGCATTGTTGTGGCTAAAAATAAACATAAAATTTTATTATTATAAACTATTTAATACAGTAAAATGGTTTTTATAAATAAAGACGAGCTCGTTATAGGCGGTTTGTTGAATAATATTCTTGGTTCAGTTCAAATTCAATAGTTTTCTCATACTGCAATGGGGAGCTGTAGCCTTCTGAACGGAATCGTATATTCCGACAGAATCGAATGGCAACAGAACCATTTCTCCATTAAATTTCCCAGTCAAAAGGGTTCTTTCAATAATATTTCCTGTAATCGTTTTGATCGCCAAAAGAGTACTGAAACGATTAAAATTACGCTGAAGAGTAATAGTCGAATCAATTTTCATTCATTTTTAATTTAGAAACACAATTTGATAATTTACATATTCCTTTTCATCAACAATAATAGCGAATGTTTTAAAATACATATGATCGACTGGCAACAACTGTTGTATCTGGAAATTAATTTCGTCAACATCTACATTTTTGGACGCTAATGTAGTCCGAATACTGATCCAAGTAATTAATTTTTATTTCCAGTACAACAGTGCAGAAATTGTTTGTCAGTTTAATGCAATACGTATTTGGCTGCAGTTCTATTCTACCATTTCTAATATCAAGCAATTGTAAGGAATATACTTGTACATATTTGTGTTGGTGAATCAATTTGCAATTGAGCGCCCACAACCATGGAATCGCATGGAAGCGAAGTGTTTCAACATTCATCACTATGAAAACAATTGATTAAACATGCGTTAATCTCATTAGCTTAAGAAAAGCGAAGAATGACCGATCTGTCGGAAATCATTAGACAGTGGTAAGAAGCTCCACCGATTCAGCGTTGCCTTTAAATCTTGCAATGTTGGTGCAATCCTTTGAGAATATTTTTTAACCGTTAACATCTCATCTCATCTAAAATTATGATTGAACTAAGTTCGAGTGAAACCCACCACCCATTACTATCGGGAGAAGATTCTCTCTAAATTTCAGTAAGATATCTCATCGGTCTATCCGATATTTTCGGTGAAAAGTCAGACATAGACACTGAGGTCTACATATTCGGTATTTGGAGATTTGAAAAGTTATGGTCCGATTTCGACAATTTTTGAACGTGAAATGGCATATCTTAAAGGTATTATTTGTTCTTCGTTTATTTCATTTGTAATTAATCAATTTTACACTGTAATATCAGAAAATAAAGAGAATGTAGTTCCAGAGATATAGAAGTTCCCCCAAAGGTGCGTGGTGCCAGGCCGGACTTGGTTATCATCCAATATTACCCATTTTAACTCTCTGAGAAGGTTTTGGAAGGATTTATAAAACAAACATAATTCATAAACCAAAAATAAAGCCAAAGTGACGTGAAGTTACCCTCTATTTTCTTTCTAAATGACTTTATAAACATAAATAAAAAATATTATTGCGATTGAATCATGAGAAGAGCTTTGGATCTTAAAGCTAGAGTTGGATGGGTCGATTCCATTGCGCCTAGACGTTAGCTGGCAGAATTTTACACCCAACCTAATTCTAACTTCACTAAGAGCGTAAGGATCATTAAGTTGTGGAAAGATGGCGAAAGTTTCAGAAAATCTGGGCAAACAATTGGAAGAACGTATTCTTCTGTCCAGCGCGTCGTAAAAAATTAAAAAAAACCGGAATTTTAACGTCAAAACCGCGATCTGGCCGTCTGAAAATATTATCAGCCCGGTAAGAACGAAAAATAATAAATATGGTGAAAGTTAACCCTCGAATTACGTCCACAAAGATTATTGAAAACGTAAATATAACCATTAAAAAAAATGCGTGCCGAAACTGCTAGAAAAATTTAACGAAAAGCTGATGATATCCAGTAGAGTCCGGTAGAGTCACTCGAAAGAAACCATATATTTCAATTATAAATAGGCGATAGCGCATTGAATTCGCTCATAATTATTTAAAAAAGTCACCGGAATTCTGGAGACAAGTAATATTTTCGGATGAAAGTAAATTTTGCATTTTTGGTATAAAAGGTCGACAAATTGTGTGGCGCCAGTCAGGAACTGCCCTTGAAAAGCAAAATCTTGTTGGTACAGTTAAACACGGAGGTGGCGGCTGGTGGTGTGGGTCAGCTTGAATTTATTGAATCCACAATGAATAAATGGGGTTATTTGAACATTAAAAAAAAAACAGTTTGAAACAAAGTGCAGAAAATTTTGGATTATCTTCGACGTTTTGGTTCCAACAAGATAATGACCCAAAGCATACTGCGGAAATAGTTAGACTTTGGCTCTTGTACAATGCTCCTAGACAACTCAATCACCTGACCTCAATCCTACTGAGCATCTATGGGATCTGTTGGAAAAAATAATACAGCATACAATAACAAAAAGAGGCTTTGCGAAGTGTTATGAAGAAGAATGGTCCCAGATTACAGCTGCGGAAACAGATAAGTTGGTAAGATCAATGCCAAATCGATTGAGCGAGGTTTTAAAACAACTCGGTTATCCAATAAAATATTGAATTTAGCTTTTCTTTATAATTTTTAATACTTTTGTAACTAATTTTAAAGCGTAACTAATTTTAATGGTGCCTATGTTTACTTCTATTATCTATAAATATTTTTGTTTTTGCATTTTGAACTTAAAAATATAAAGAAGAAATACATGTAGAAAATTTGAACTGAATTACCTATTTACATTGTGTTTTTACTTCACTTAAAAAGTAGTGTCGGGTGAACGCAGACTTTATTGGCTATGTGTATGTAATCGATCACAACAGAATGTTCACATAATATGTTGCAATTTCATAATTTCATTCTCCAAAATCAGGAGTACTAAATAAAATGGACAACTTTTATTTTTTCACCGTTTTCAATTCTTATAAAAATACTGGAAAACCGTGGCGTCAAATATGCTGAATTGCGACAGCATGTGCACATAACTGAGGTTAAATATTTTCGCGGCATTCTTTCTAACGCATACAACACCTAGTTAAAGTGTAAAAAATTTATTAATTTTAATAATTTGTACGTTATTTTAAAAATTTTCTGTACTTACTAAGTTGAAACCACATGTGCGCAACCAAGGCAAAAATGAAAGGATGATTTTGAGGCTACCATACCTGCAAGCCACCTATCGGTAAAATCACCGATTAATTACCCAACAGAGCTATCAGAGATTTCTGTTAAAGTTTCTATGAGTTTCTTAAGGAAACTCTTGTGCACGTGTGATCGTTTTTCCCTTTCTAAGCATTGGACTTATGAGTTGCAATGTGTGAATGCGTTTGTTTTAGCGCTAATTCCTTCAAAATATTGAGGTTTACATTGCCGTGACTTGGTGGTATGTTATTCCATATTAGACGTCACATTTGGCATTACTAGACTATATCATTAAGTAGCTTTATTAAGTTAAATTTTTAAATTTTATGAAAATTGTTGGAAAGTCTAGTCAAGGCGTAAACCATCGATTGTCAAACGACGAATATTAAACAATTAATAGTTCCAACGATTGTTTTGCCGCTGTAGGCCATACTCCTTAAGATTTAACTAAGTACCTATCCTGTGGGGAAAAGCGAGAGCTGTATTCATACCGAAAGCCGGCAAAGGAAGGGAATATCTTGGAAAGAATATACTTATAGACCAATAAGTTTAGCCTCATTCCTTCTGAAGACATTCGAAACGATTCTAGAAAGAGCTCTAGAGAGAGAAAATAACCGGTGGTGTTCTTTGCTTTGGTTTAATGGACCGTTGCCAACAAAATCTTAACAGAATACCGCAGCTCGCTGTTCTCTGCATAACGGGAGCGCTAAGTAATGGCTAAACACCTCCTCCACACAACACCGTCCTTATCTAAAACTTGTCTTAGACATCTAGGAGCGTCGCAGTTCAAGAGACTTGGCAATACAATGGAACAGTATATTTATGTAAGAATTTCCCGACTTTGTTCTTTGCAAAATGCAAGAGTATAAAATGTCCTACACGCAAACTCTGGCCTTCGTTACTAATTTTTTTTAATATTTGGTGGATCTATAGTAACAAATAGTTTTGGATTGTCATATTTATGTCTGGAATGGGATATCTATCTGTTATTGTATATTTTGTATTTCCCTTTTAGGAACTCTCCAAGTTGAAATATATGGAGTTTTGTGTGGTTGAGTTATCTGATTATCGAGAAGTTTCTGAATTTCTGTATTAATAAATCACCATCATGACATAGGATTCATATCCTATTGGATTGCTGAAAGCTAAAATTGCGTGGTTTCTTCTCATTATTTCCTTAATATCGTTTTCATATTCTGTATTATTTATTATGAAGTTATTATTTTTTCTTCTTTTCCTACCTTTATAATTTTCGTTTAATACTAAACAAAGTTATTGTTTTTTTGGAATTCAATAATGGGTATGCATTCATAGTTTTTTTTTATTAGTAAAGTAGGCAGCACAAATTTTATAGCTTTTACACAGTATGTACATAATTCTTTGTAAATCCTGTATCAAGAATGATATAAGACAAGATTACGCCAACCAAATTCATGAGACGTCATTCTCATGGAATGCGAAAAGGCAACATTGTAAATTGTACACAATTCGTAAACGCCTTTATTCATTCGTAAAATAAACGTAATTTATTAGTTTATGATGAAAAATGTTTAGTGAAATAATTAGAATAATGTTGCTGAAAAATATTTGAGTCTGTTTTAATAAAAGTATGTTTCTATTATCAATTTTCTCTTGGATGTTCAATGTTATTCCCTCTCTATCTAATTACAATTATGGCAGGTTGTCTCTTTCTATGCTACCTCTTACACATATGTGTACCAGGGATGGTATTTAATAAAAAAAATCTACCCTTTAGATTATTCGCGATGCGCCACTATTTCCTGAGACAATTTTGTCTGTTATCTTTTTGCGTTATTTGTTTTGAGTTAGGACACCCTATTAAAAAATGGTACGGCGTTAGAGGATTTCTTTCTCCCATGACAACGGTATATCCGTTAGCGGCCTTGAATTATTTATATTCTTCGATGAGTACGCTTTGTAATGTTTGCTCCTTAGCGCCCTCCTCGCTTAGAATCTTGTGTAGCATCTTTTTGCGGATGAATCGCCCCCAGAAACTCCCAGAGCTTGAATTGACTGGATAATTGAATTTCAAATCGATGTTGCGTGTGGTGACTTCATTTAGTATACGTTTATGCATGCACCAATAAAGTTTGTGCTATTGTCACTTCTGATACGTATCAGTGTACCGCGGCGGTTAACAAAGTTTCGCAGACACAGTAGAAATGTATCCATCGAAAGATCATACGCGATCTTCAAATGAGCTGGTCTTTCAGTGAGACAAGTGTATGATATGGTTGTATGGCATCAAAATCATCTCCGTGATTCAACTGGTAGTACAATGGCCTCGTCAATGCCCCCTCGAATTCGTATAATGCCGTTGTCGTCTACATATGGCGATAATGTAAAGATGTCACAATTTTTCGGAATATTTTTATTCTTATTTAACGTCTTTAGTTCTCTTGTGTAAACTTCGTGCTGCACTGTGCTAACAGTATATGTCTCGGCCCCGGCTAGCTCCTCAATGCCTGATGGAATACGTCGGTTGACATCAATGCATTATTGTTGTTCCGACTGAGATTTAAGAAAATCTTATCTGCCCGATAAACCCAATCCATCACTCGCATCACATTAAAAATGAAGTAAAACGATTAAATTGAATGAAACAATTATTTATGACCTTATGGTTATGAAGAGGCAAGATTTGACAGGAGAAGATTTGATGGTGAAAGTTGAACTAGAACTCGATTGAGTCTGACGTGTTCCAATGCATTCTCAATACTTCCTCGGATTTCGCCCCACTTTCAAAATTCACGTATCGATTTTTGTTGTGCATTGTTATTTAAACGTGTTTCTAACTACTGCACCTTCTTGAAATCGAAATAAAATGTTCTGGCCCTTTGAGCAGCATGGAATTCGTGGAAACCCCATTGAGCTGTGCGTCTGCATGGAACACGATTCGCATCTTATCCGGCTTGTGTTGGTTTTGTACTGCCAAGTGTGGTAAATACCAATTAATATAAGCTCCTTTACCTATTTCTTCTTGCAACAACTGTCGGGCATAACCATTACGTAAGTATTTAGCGACTTCTTTAGTGTAACATATTTGACCTAAACTCTGGATCTGTTTTAATTTTGCTTTCTGCCTATTAGACGTCATAGGCCACTGTCTGGAATAAAGAGCGGCGTGCTTGTCTAATGAAGCCCACTTTAAAAACGTTTATCTATGCGACGTGTATTTTCTACTAGCATCTGGCGTGCTATTCTATTCTCGTCTGATTCGATCTGTTTCAGCGGCTCACTCATTCCAAACTTTTCTGTGGCAAAAAATCCGGTGACGAAGTCATAAAGCGATGTGTCTCTCGCTCGGAGGTGTAATACGACTGGAGCTGATACTGTGGATGCAGTTCTAGCATACGCAATCCAATAAAAACCAGGCCCAGGGGTACATACTTCTAATACTTCATCAACTTTATTACCTATCTTCCCACTTACTACTTCAATGTTTTTGTAGAATAAGTCAATAGACTTACTGGTTTATGCTCTTATCGAATCTGTATTAAATTTTATTTCTTGTTGATGTAGGGTGAAACAAATTTGTGAAACCTATAATGTATTCACTATACACATTGAAACAGAAACATCTCATTCAAACATTTATTTCTCGATCTAATTAATAAAAATACGGTTCTTTTGAAATATGTTGACTATCGTGATTAAGTTTATGAACATGCAGTTTAAAATCCTTCAATCTTCAATTTTTGGGAACTTAGAAGTGAGCCTTTCGAGTTTTTCAACAGTCTAGCTAGTCCTGAAATCCTGCCCTGGAACGAGCATGATCAATTTAAATTTTTGTTCCTTACTAAAGCACTAAACAAACGTTCACCACTTGAAACAGAAACGGATAAAGTACAAAATATTCTCAAAGCGATTCAAGTATTAAGGAAAGTCTTCCCAATTTTCGAGCATTGATGATATTCAATAAGTTGTATAGAGTAAGACGGAATTCAAAATTTGCATCGTATACATGCCTGAGGTATAGCTTCATTGGACAACTTATCAAATACATCAACGGAAGTTGATTTTTTTTCGCTGATGGTAAAATTGTCTTGTAAGTCCACATGCTGTGTCGCCAGCGCCCATACCTCTGCTATGAAGGGAGCAGTTCTCAGCGGGTGTAGTGCTACTGCCAAACCCGCTTTACAACGCAGAAGTGCCACGGTCCATTAAAACTCGGACCTCGAAAGCGTTAACACTATTAAAGGAGAAGTTTTGCTACGCCCTCCGGGGGTTGCCAAGGGTCGTGGTTCAGCATTCAAAATTAAGCCCAGGGCAAAACCCAACAAGGAGGGGTTGAAGGCGGTAACTACATACAAAGCGGCGGTCGAGTGAGAGACTTAGCTGCAATATACAACTGGACGAAGGAAGAAGGGAAGAGACTGGCTTGGGCTAAAGAAAACATTGAGGGAAGTCCGAGCCGAGGTAATCGCGGTCAAAAGGCCATCCAAACGGCTGTAATTTTGATGGTGCGGGCCAGATGAATGGAGTCAAAATCCTCAAATGTAAGGATAACCTCTCTCTGCTTTGGGTAAAGGAAGTGCATTCCGACCACTCCGAAAGCGAAAATGCTTATACTTCGCACGGTAAAACCGGGTGCACTGTGGCTTCTTCAAAGGCAAAATCCTGATATGCCCACAAAAGATTGGAGGGTGTTGAAGGTCACCAACTCCGGTAAGGAGGATGGCAGCTAAAACTACATCCTTCTAATACACAAGTCGGCCGAAAACATTTTGTATAAATGGTGCGGGAAGACGGCGTGTGGCGTTGGTAGCATGTGCTTTCGCCTCAAAAAGCGCAACCTGGTCGATAACAACATAAACACGCTGTAGAAACGATATGCCGAGAAGAATATGGGTGGGATCCTAGAGGCCAACCTTAAGATCCATAATGCAGAAGTGGGTGTACCAGAGATGCAACCCGACCCCGAGAAGAAACCTGACATTAGCAGTAAGGGTTATTCAGATAAACCTTCTTAAAAGGAAGGTAGCCTCCGCCGAACTTCTTCTCAGTTCAGAGAGGCTCAGCTACAATGCGGCTTTAGTTCAAGATCCATGGATAGCCTCGAAAAACATGGTATCGGAAGTAAAGTCGCCGTTATACCACACATACATCCCGAGTGCAACAAAGAAGATAAGAACTCTTATACTGGGAAGGAGAAGTATGCATTCATATAGCGACCTAAATTTCTCTTCAGATGACTTGACGGTGGTGGCTGTAAGGGATGGCAAGAATGAGACACTACTTCTTACATTCTGTTACATGTTTCACGATAACAAATCGCCGCCAGCGGAACTCTGGAAGCTGGTAGATGCGGCTGAGAAATCGAAAAGACTGCTGGTGATATGCGCTGACGCCAATATGCACCACACGGTATTGGGCAGCAGCGATACCAACGAAAGGGGTGACTCATTACTAAATTTTGTAATGATAAGCAATTTAGATATAGCGACATATACGGGTCCTATCTCGAAGAACGTTCTAAAAGTAACACTATATACTAGTACAAGAATCAGAGGAGGAAGCCGTCACAGTTACGAATATTCTCAATAAAGCGTTATTATCGTATGCCATCCATCACATGCGAAGCGTTGTTCGAAGCCACCTTGGTGGAACAGGGAGTTCGGATCACGTAGGCACAGTGTTCAAGAAATCTTCAAACTGGTTAAGATAGTCGATGAGGAGCTCTGCTAGAGGGAATATAAAGCTATACTAAAAGAATATGAAAAAAGAAATTTGCAACGCCAAAAGGGAGTCGTGGAAGAGCTTCTGCGGTAAGTAAGGAAAGACAACAGAAGCAGCTAGGCTTAGGAAACTACTATCCAAGCACGCGAGTACTCCTTCGCTAATATACAGAAAAATGTGGACTAGTTGCAGTGAGAAATCACTGGAAGACCTTACCGCATTTTCCAGGGTGTACGGATTTATCGGCTATCGTATCGACTGCTCAACAAGCCTGTATGAAGGGTAGATCCACTGAGACTGCACTTCACCCGTTAGCTTTAAATATAGAGAGAGCTCTAGATCATATGGAATACCCCCGGGATAGAGCCTGTCGTTACTATATGGACAAAAGCTTTACTAAACTGTAGAAATTCCTCAGGGGGATGTACTGTCGCCTCTCTTGTGGACACTC